TACTACTAGTAAGGCACCTGTTACTACTAGCGTGGCACTTGTTACTAGGTGTCGGAAAACCAGGGTTTGACCCAACGTGTTCCTGTGATCACACCACGTTGGGGCATCCACCACGCGCGGCCCAGTCGCTTGAAAGCCAAGGTCTCCACGTAGATCTTCATCTCGTCCGGGTCCTCTGCCTCAGCCACCCCACCAAATCCGCCCCACTCAGTATGACTCAGTGGACCTTCTGATTGGACCCCTGCCAGAAGGAAACCCGCCGGCCCCGCCGGCCCACACCTATGGATCTTGACATCCACCCAATCGAGTGGCAATGATAGTGTTTTTGCTGAGGTGGTAACCTCACTTTTCAGGGGCTGAACCATGGAGACTGGCCGAGACTGGCGACCCGTGGTTGGCCCCGTTCACAATCAAGGGAACCATTTCATGTAACATAATAATGTCATATATAATAATAATATACTACATGTTAAGCCTCGTCAGCTTGAACCACACACAAATTCACACACCATTGACACGTTTGTTCTGCGAAGACGGTCAACGCAGTAGGAATCACGGATTTTTTTGTCTTCATTGATGGATGTGTGATGAATCAGTCAGTCCTGGCCTTTTCCAAGAGGAGGCGAAAGCAGTTGAAGAAGCGCAAAGAAACGACTGCTCTTGGAGTAGTGAAATTGTCCTGGCAAGCGCTGGCAAGTGACCGCAAAATTATTCTTCACTGATCTGACTGAGGCTTTGAGGCCCTGGGCGATTACTAAAATATCTAAAAATATGCTTCACACAAATCGCTGCACTCTCTAAGCAGCATGCAGCGAAGAGACTTGCTGGCTCCAAAGTCGCACAGGACCTTCGAGCTGTTGCTTGAAGTTGGGACTTTGCATCCCAAGCACACTCAGCACAACACCCAAAAACCTTCAATCCGGCGTACGTTGGCCGAGCAGAGTTGTTCATGTTCATTCCTTCACGTCCTTCGTTTCACGATCGGCCACACCGTGCTGTATACACCTCCGCGTGGGCGAGCCGGCTCCGGTCCTTGATCGCGACCAACGCACCGATCTTGGTTCCGTAGATCGCATCGCCCACGGCTTCACGGTCATTTCCCAAGGCTTGCAACAACATATCGAAGGATTGTCGCAAGACGTTCACTTCCGTCGAAGACCTGGGTCGGCGGAAGTGTGGACCGTCGAAAGAACCGCCGAAACCGGGCGAGATCGACCGATTTGGAGTGGCTCTCCTTCCCGGAGCTTTCCAGGGATTTTGCATCTCAGGGAGGCCAAGTGAGCCAAGTGCTCTGACCGCTTCAGACTTGGTTCTGCCCCCAAAAATCCCGGCGCGTCAGCGCGCCCGGATTTGAGCCGTGCGGCAGCTTGACCAACCGCATGGACTCGCCAAATCCGTCGCCGCCCTCCTGTGACTTGCCTCCAAAGGGCTGGTCTTGCTTCCACTCTGACCCCTTCATTCATGAGATTACAGGATGATATATGGTCCCTATAGGTGTAGAACATGAGGAGTTGAAAAGGACGATCTTCCCGCTGAACTCAGATCGCGTTGTGAAGCTGTGAGTTTTCAACCAGAACAAATCGACTTCACGCTTTCACCCATTGCCAAGTTTGCTTCCGATGTCTGCGCCTGCGCCTTGTTCCAAGTCCTTTTCCAAGTCGGAGCCAATCGAGTCTGGGTGTGGCTCAGTGTCCGGCATGGACGCTGTCTCCTGCGCTGCGGGGTCCCTGACCAACCTGCTGATGAACACCTGTTTGAACCCCATCCGAAACAATGTCCTTGGGCTGATGTGGTTGAACGATATAACTATTGTGATCTGATCAAACTTCCGTTGTAATTTGTTCTCTGTTTATGTCCTCTTGCTATAACGACAGGGTGGGTATCCTGTCATGATGGGCAATCCCTTGGCAGGTTTGATTCATCTGTCGCGTTGTAACCTGCATCCCGAAGGTTCGCCCCTCCCCAACCCGCAACGAATCCCATAATACTACACAACTCGCAACGAAGTCCAAATCTGCTTCTTTTTTAATGGGCCCGGCCCGGGCATGCATACTAAGGACATCCTAACCCACTGCTCATGACACGAGCCGTTTCGAGCTCATGGAGAAAAAAGGAACAAACACATACATCGAAGGGCGAAGCATTGATCAGTCTCCTCCTCCATCATCACTGGCTGCATCTCAGTGGCTTCCCGCTCCTCCTCCGCAAGAACGAAGCAGTTGTCACCCAGGCCACCAGGCCACACTGCTTCTCTCCATCCATGACTCGTGTCAAACACTACACTCGTGGCAATCAAAGTACAGTAAGTCACTATTTAGCGGGCTCATAGCTTTCCGAAAGTCATTCCGGTACACAAAGTGTCCGCGAAAGGGTGGTCCTTACAACTGAGCTAAGCTATGCGAACCCTTCGACACATTCGGATTCTTTGGCCCCCAGCGACCCTACGGCGCCAAACAAACGCGGCACGGTCTACGGCTCCAGTGGGGCAGCATCATCGAGAACCTTGGCCATTGCTTCCGCTTGAAATGAAGCAACAAAGCTACTTGAAATGATCGCACGGGTCACACGTTTGGTGCTTGAGCCGATTGAATGCTGCGAAGCTGCGAAAATGCACTGAGCTCCTGTCTGGAACTGATAGATCCATGATCATCCATTGTATCTCATTATATCCATTGGATCCACCACACAGATCATCCATATTATCCAGAGGAGCTGATAGATCCATACAATGCATGTATGAAATCCATGGTATCTCATGCATTCGCCTCCTGGGCCTATTGAGTTAAAAACATGGAAAAAACAAAAAAAACTTTTGCCATCGTTTGCCCTCACTTTGAGACATAGATCACAGTTCGTCCCATTTTCTGGCGTCGCGTCCAGCGCCCAAAGTCGCAGCGCTTCCAGCGCCGATCACCTGGGTGCTCGGCGAACCAGGTGAACCGATCCCGCGCTCGGCGTTTGATTTTGCAGCACCCCAAAGTGACCAAAACCCATTTTGACCCTCCATGCTTCACACAAAGAAGGAAAGGAAGAAAGGAAAGGAAGGAAAAAGGAAAAAAGGCAAAAGCATCAAAAAGAACCAGAAAGTAAAAAAGACTTAGAAACACACATGAACAATGTGATACAATCGATGTGATACAGCAATGGGTTCTGTAATGCATAACAAACCTCCTCCGTTGATGTTGTCAATTGCTGCATCTGTTCAACAGAGATGCAGCGATGGCCGCAGGTGCGCTCCTGACCATGCCAAAGCTCGACCACCAGCACCTGGCAAATACTGATCAACCCTGAGCCCAGCTGGGCTGGTAATGAACATGCATTGGGTCTATCCTATTACCTGTAACAGTGGATGATGATGGTTAGGTTGCAGGCCTTGTGCAAAAATGTTGATAATTGTTTACTGACTGTTACAGGTAAGAACGGACAGACCCTACACATGCATTGCATAACGAATCCACAAGTTGACAAGTGATTTTCGGGCCACAACACGGTCTTGCTGAAGATTTGGGGCCTATTTGGGCAGCCCAGCTCGCTCCAAGAACGGAAACATGTGTCCAGGCGGTTCATAGCGCGTGACCCCAAAGAGCCTTTGTGGCATAGCCTCTTGTTAATGAACATGGACGGACAGGTCTCCAAAATTAAACAGTGCAGGGAACGTATGAGAACTGTTGCAGCTGTTGGCCAATTTTAGATACTTGATAAAACAATTGGTTTCCCAAAAGGAATGCTGGTTCTGAAGGTATTCAGTTGAACGCTACTAAAGATTGGGGCTTCGCTCGTATATATATATATAGCTGAGCCAAACGCTGGTGATTGAGGATGGACATCTGAACTTTCTTGGGGCCAGTCATCATGAGCTGCCAAAAAAAACGATATTATTCATCAATAATGTTCCATATAAAACCAAGCGTGTTCACTTCGGTGCCAGCCATAGGGCTGCTGCCAGCCTAACGGGTCGCTGCCACTCGTGGGGTACGGTCCTTTGCCATCAAACAGGCCAGGCGGACCCGGCGGCAACCGGCTTCCACAGGAGTCACACCTCGAGAGTGGAAGATCGTGGCGTTCCAGCTGGAAAAGGGGAACTGCTCGAAAGTCTCAACACAAGAAGCACAAGTGAAACTCAACTCAAAATGATGAGTCGATTTATTTGGATTACTCGTCATAAGAATGATGGTTTCCCATCTGCCCAAGTTTAAACAGCAAAGCTTTGAACTGCTTGCCGGGATGCAATGGTACCTCAGCATTGGGCTGGTGCAACAAAACCCATGTATGGCGACCCTTCTGATCCTGGATGGTCCAGAACCTGTCGGATGGATCTGGAAATGGTATATGCCTGGCATGCATCAACTTCACCGCCAGCGTGTCATCTACCTTCCACCTTCCCGAGGCTTAGGAGAGGGTTCGCCGAGTGGCTTGTGCCCAAGGAAGATCAAGGCATCCCCAGGATCAAAGCGATGCTTGCGCAATCTTTGGCCTGGCGCAGCTCTAGTCTCTAGTCCATGGGCAGCTGGGTCCACCAGGGCCGTGGGTCACCCAACGGTACAAGGATTGGAAGGGTATTGGGGTTTGTTGGTTCATATGTTGACGCGTTGATGCGTTTGTTGTTGGGATCTCACTTTCTTGTTTAGGGGTTGGTGGTGGTGTGGGGCTGCACCTTAGCACCTACCGGTCCGGGCCCACCAGGCGCTCTGCAACCAGTAGCCCCCGCCTGCCGACGGGGTGGAGTAGCAGCCCGGGGACTTAGCAGTAGTAGTCGTCGTCGTAGTCGTCGTGGTAGTAGTAGTAGTAGTACTAGAAGTATACTAGAAGTATACTAGTAGTATACTAGTAGTATACTAGTAGTATACTAGTAGT